TCTTATTTTTATGGTATTTATTGCTAGTGGGCAGACATTAAGTGGTCGTTGTCTACCTCTCATCATGATCTACCACCATCTTCATCATTACTCTTTTTTTGTAATTATGAGCATCGTTATTATTATGGTGTTTACGTACTCATGCTTCATGGTTTGTTATTGTGCTTAATTGCATGTTTTGTATCTCAATAACCATGCTTGGTATCTCATAAGAAATGATTATGCCAAAAAAATGTATGAACATGTGGAAAAACAAAAATTGTTTATCATGCCAAGCCGCAAGTTGAATGTCTCTATAGGTACGAACGTGCAGATGTAACCGACTTTACCCCCTCGTGCGTATTCATAGTATATCGTCTTGTGGCTGTGCATTGCAAACCTTACATTATTTCACTTGACCTTTGAGGTACAAGCATTAATAATTTATCTACGCAAGTACAATTTCGTTGTTAAAAAATTATAAATATTTTTTATCCACAATTTAAACTCAAACAAAAAAAAAAAATAAAACAAAAAAATGACGATTCAAAATGATTAGTTGTGGTTTAAATTTTTTAATTACACATTTTAAAATAATTAAATTCAAAGTAAAAATATTTTTTATTAAATAAGTTAATTACAAAATGGTATTATGAAAGCATTTTTAAAAGTATATTTTTAAAAACCAAAAAATTAATATTATTCAAGTACATTTAAATTAAAATTAGTTTATATACAAATTCAATTTATTTTTTTTTTTTGGTATAGGCTGGAATGTAATCGTATAATGAGCCTAGCAACAATTTATGCAATACAAAGTGTATCTATAACCAACACTGCGCGCCACTTTGCCTGTGCATACAAATTATTTCAATTAAAAAACGATTTTGGCCAAAATGCTACAAACAACTAGTATTTGAGATACTTTGAATTTTTTTCTTCAAAAACATGTGGAAATTGTTGTTTTTGGTCAAAAAATTGTTGTTTTAGCATTTTTTTAAAAAGATTTATGAGTTTTGTACATAAAGTAGCTTTAAAGTGTTGTTTTGTCATAAATCATTTGCGAAGTGAATGCCTGGTAACTAATTTAATTAAAATTTACTGCTGTCAAAAACTGAGAGAAAAAACAGATAAATTGTAATTTTAAATTTTATGGGAATTATATTCAAGTCCACAAGCTTTTATATGTATATATACACATTTTCAGGGGCGCATTAACTAATGCGATTATGTCGAATATTTAGATGAGTTTTACTGTGCACTTAATGCGCGTACATATATACATATATTTATTATAGTATACAATAATAATATGTATATAAACAATAAACAATATAAAATTAATATAATAAGAATAATATACAAATTATTAATTAATAATATAAAATAACATAAAAATCATAAAAATAATATATATCTTATAAAAATTAAATATTAATATTACCTATGATTTCAACATCAGATATTACGGTAGTGACTAAAACAAAATTCGAAATATTTTTTTTTATCATAATGAAAATCATAATATTTATATAAATAATGTGCAATACAAGATAAATATAGTAAAAATAATAATATAAAATAATATAAAAGTATAAATTAATATAAAATTTATTATGAAATAAATATAGTAAAAATATAAAATATATAAATATAATATAAAATACTATAAAAATCATAAAAATAATATAAATTTTATATAAATTAAATATTAATATTATATTTGATTTTAAAGTTACTTAACAAAAACTTTTGTGTTTAATAGAGAATTTTCTAGTGTAGAGAGGAGTCTTGCTGACTCCTCTCACCAAATTAACAAAACTCCAAATTCGAAGATACAAGTGTGACCTCAGTTGGTCAGTTGGATAATGACTCTGAGTTTCAAATTGGGCAGGGCACGAGTTCAACCCTTGGTACTTGGAGTCCCAAAAAATTATTTACGAATAATTTAATATAAGAAATATTTTCAAAAATTCCACTAATAATTTGCCAATACTCGAAACATCTGTAATTCAATTAATCAAAATAATATAAAAAAAGAAATTTGTTGTTGTAGTTCACTACTTTTTAAAAACTCTGTAAAATATCAATATATAAATACTTTTTAACATATATTGATGTACATAAAAAATAAATTATGAATTATATATTGAAATATATAAAATATGTAATATAATATTGCACATAAATATTTTAATAATATACATACATAGCGAGATAGCTACTTTGCTTTATATAAAATCTTGTGTATGTTTAATTACAATTAGTTTACGAAGAAATAAATATATTATACATAATACATTGAAAAATTTAATATATTTTTATATACATATATGTGTATTATTTTAATATAAATGATATTTGCTAGGTAGTGCAACTAAGATCTTATTTGAATTACATATTCCATTAAAAAATTATTGTATGATGTTAAGGGCTCTTACACCATCAACCGCTACCGTCTCAACGTTTCATAAGCTTATTTTATTAATTAAATTTTAATATTTATAAGTCAAACTATAATATGTATATTTTTGATTTAAATGTTTTTATGCAAAGAACCTTCAAAAAGTAACCCTGAATTTAATTTATGATTTCATTGCAAACTAACATCCTGAGTAGTGGTATTAAATGTTATTATTAAAACTAAAAACTGAACAAAATAAATGGTAATCATATCTGTGGTTAATCTCTTTTAAATATTCTAAATTATTGAAAAAAAAATATAAATTTACAAATATATCTCTTCATATTAATTATTTTTTACAATATATTATTAATATAAAAATTTTTGCACTGATGTGTACAATGCAAAAAAGACACAGTAAAGAAATAAGTAGTTTGGATTTAATTACATATTATTTGCTGTAATAAATAAAAACTAATACATAACAATAATTTATGAAAGTTTCTAAATAATTAATTATAAAGAATTATAATTAAATATTTATTGCTTAAAAATTGTATAATAATTTTTATTTTATATTATCTAATCTCAAATACTACATGATATAAGAGTATAGTAATTAAGATATATGAGTAATATGAAAAAGATGAGTTATATTTGTTATTATATTTTTCCGTTTGTAAATAATATTTATGTAAATTATCAAATCAAGCTATGGCTCTTTCAAATAAAATTCTTTATTTATATAATAGTTATTTACATGTTACACAATACATGTATTAATTTATATTTTAACTTAAATATATGACGTTATCCAATTCTCTCCATCTACTATTTTCCCCAACAATAATATTTATATGGTTACAAGCTAGATAAAATTACATTCATCGCAGTTTTTCGAGATTTTCATGGGAGTCCAGCACTCGAAGGATCCTGCGGATGTTCTTACAATATCCTGTCTATGTTTTTTTAATACATAATGAATTCACGTTCATTTTATCCTAAGGATTTCAATTTCAAATAAGTAGACATTTGTTTACTTTATTACTATAAATCATTCTAATCTAAATATTTTGAGATCTTTTAAGTCTCGATGAGCCTAGGTGTGTCATTTTAAGAATATTGTTGCCATATCATGTTTACCATGCTAAGTAGCTATTTATATCCTCGTTAATATGGTTTAGGGCTGTTATTCCCTATTTAATGTATAGAAAACGTCTCGTACTTTATAAATTTTTTTTGGTAATGTCTTATTGAGATCTACAGTCTGGAGTAACTAAGCTTTGAATATACAAAAGAGCGCCGACATCTTTAAAATTAGAAGAAATTATTTAGGTGCTAGGCGCATTAAGTTAGTGATTCTTATATTAATATTCAGCACGATTTTAGCAATGTTCTATTTTAAGCAGCGTATTTTTCACTAAATATGCTCGTATGTACTAAAAAATAAAAAAAATGTCTGCGCAATCTAAGTCATATAGAATTCCAATAGTTTCTAACTTAAGCACCTCATTCAGCAGTATTAAAAACAACATGTACAATAAAACCGAAGCCTGGTTTAACCCAACTAAAACCTATTTGTCGGTCTTAGAAACTGGGTACTGACCTAGTGGGATAAAGTATCTGTGTGATTGCTTATCTAAATCTAAACAAAATTTGAATGAAATTAAGCTAAACCCAATATATAGAATATCAGTTAATCTAGTAGATCTGCGAGATGGTAAAAAGTGGACCGCGAATTAAATTTAACAGCAATGGATACATACCTTGTAATTTTTCTAACTGAGACCTCACTTATTAGAAATTAAGCAAACAAAAATTCTTAGTAACTATGTACTTATTTCATAGCCTATATATATATGTAAGAAAATAGCAGTCATTGGGAGCCTGAATCGAAAATACGATGTTTGGAGAAGCAATTCTAATTACATTTGGAACAATTTTGCCATTGTTTTGATGGACTCGTAGTCACAACGAGAAACATATATAGGTACTATTTCTGATAATAAATACCGAATGTTTTATATTCAATTACCTAAAAAATAAAAATGTTGTTTTAACTGAAGAGATAACAACACTATGTATGATGTTTTACTTAAGTTTATATCCTTTATATACTCATGATGTTAGTAAATATGGATCTTACCACTATCTTTTCTGCAGTACATATGATTTCACATGATTTGCTTTCTTTAATAGAGATCTTCAGGCAATTCAGACAAACAACCCGAAAGAACCATAAGTGTGACCCGGTTTATTACAGTCAATCGCCAAAATCTACGCATCAGCGGATTGAGTCGCTCACCTTTGTTGTGGTAATTATACATATATATTATGTATGCGAATTATTATTTGTATACAATGTAATATTGGTTTTAATATTGGTGCATAACAAATCGAATGTTTAGGTCATACTACTGAACCAAATTGAGAACAATAACAATTGATCTATTGAGTTCATTTTATTATCAAATTTATCAGATTTATTTAAATCCAAAACCTGGCAACTCTTTTTGCTAAAAATAAGTTGCATTCATTGCACATATCGATGCATCATTGACATTGAATTTGTGAGCAATTACATTTAGTTTATCTAAAATATTTTCGTGGTGTGGAACTGAATTTTTTCATATGAATTTTATGAATAATATTTATTTGTTAAATTATTAATTTAATTGTGAAGTCTCTGAAATGCTGATAATCACAACCTAACGTTAATCCATCTACATTTTTGAAGTTGTGGTAAATTTTGTGATAAAAATAACAGAAATATTTTTGAAATAATAATTCATAAGTTATTACACAACAAAGTTTATATAAAAGAAAGTTACTAATTAAAAACATATGAAAAGATCGACTTAAGTAATCATCTATATAATAAGTTGATCGTTCGTGTTTAAGAAAATTTTAAATTGTATAACAGCTTTTTTAATCATTTTTTTTTAAATAAACTGTGCAGATCAAATATAGATATATATTTAAATTAATATTATTTATAAAAAGTGATTATATTAAATTTTTCAACTAACGTTATTTTTGTGTTATAAAAGGAAATTTATTTTATATATTAAATTTTTTTATAAACAACAGATGATTCCTTGAATCTATATTAGTTTTTTTTATTATTATTATTAGTTTCATGTGGCCCTATGCTCCTCCTAGGAGTTTAAGGATTAAATATATATATTAGTTTTTAGTTAATAATCCTGTTATCGAAGGTATACAAGATTAATCAACAATAAGATATTTGGTATATATAACAAGGATTATATGATTACAAAAAATATTCCTCCAATTTAATAATTATTTGGTTATTTTAAAATTATATGTTTTTTTGGAAATCACAACAAATATCAATAACAAATATATATATATGTTTTATTAGTCCATCATACTTTTTATTATTCCAACTTTTGCACTTTTACTTCCAGAAAATGGTTGGGCTCGTTTTTATTTCCTATAGTAGTACTGTACTAGTACTGTAATTGAATATATTGAGAATTATAATTATGGAAAATTATTTACTGGCTTAGAATACGTTCTAATTACATATTTAGAACTTGCAAAAATATTGCATTTATAAAAAAGAATTAAGAATTAAGTTTTGTATTAATCTCAACCCATTTAAATTAAACTGTTAACGTTATCTTATAAGAAACTATTAAAATAGAAAATAAATGAAGAAATATTTTTAAAATGAATGGAACATGAAATTATTTTTTGGATTAAAAAAATGGCTTTTATAAAGCACTTTTATAAATTCAATTAAAAATTATTATTTAATTACAGTACGTTTACACCATTGCAATTAGTTCGGTAAATGTTAAACAATTAAAGCCATTTGTCAAACAAAACCCATACCCTGATGTGCTTTATTGATCATTGAAAATAGCAACAAGGAAGCAAATATACTTTGCAATGCCAACTTTTAAGAGTGATTTAATTTTTATTTTATGCTGTATATATTTTAAATATTTTTTCAAAATTATTTTAGTAAACAATTATAAGAACTTTACTATAATTTTCGTTTAAAGTAATTTTTATTTAATATTTTAGTGAAAAATATTTAAAAATACTACAAACAATGCATCTAAAAATGAGAAGATATGTAAATGATATGAAAACAATATCTGTTATATAATTTACGGATTTCTATATAATACATAACACTATACGTAATAACTATTACTCTAGATTTAGCGGGACTTATTGCTACATCAATTTGTTTTTGAAGAAAATTAGATTTTTGCCTTTAAAAAAAGAATTATGTAAACAGTTTTCCTATAATAATAATTATATTATTGGAGGTATATAATATCTATTGATACAGAGTGAATTGATGAAATCCTAACGAACTTATAGAATAAATCTGTACACCAACATAACATAATAATTATAATAATAGTTTATAATAATCATTAAAAAATATTTGATCAGGCCAGATACTTTACTAAAATGGGAAATGGGCTTAAAAGTCTGAAGACAATCCTTTCAAATTAATTGAAGAAGTATATTTATATACATATTTAATTATTATTTACACATTATTAGAAAATATCCTTCGATATTTATGGCTACATAACTGGTCAGAGTTTTTCTTTAACGATATAAAATTCTATATATTAACATCAGCATGAGTAAGTTTAATGGAGACTCTCCAGCCTTTTTAAACCAATATATAATAACTTTACATACTTTTGGAAAAACGATACAAGACTTGAGTTTGTTAACACATATTTATTTCTTTCACATTATCTGGAACAGGAGATATATTCCATTTTTTTAGATATATATACAACACAGAAATAGAGACTATGACACGACGAATAGTTTTAGCAATGTCCTTTTGCAGATAATTTACACGTTAGTAAACAAAGCTTTCTGCATGAGATTATGTGATGGACTTTTTTGAATTCTGGAAAATCACACACATGTTTAAATATGAAGAGAATTATTTGATCCTACTACTCAGCGCCCATACGAAATAACTCCATGAACTAAGTTTAATTTAAAAATTTATCATAAATAAATGAATTGAATAAAAAACTAAATTAAAATAAGTAAATCATATATAAATGATGGGTGAGAAGGATATTAAGTACAAATAGGAGAAGAGTGGTTTCAAGTAGAAGCGCTTGATAGCCAGTACATTTAAAAAAATTTTTTAGATATGGTTTTATATATGTCATCTAAATTAAAAAAATTCCATTAAAATCAAATGAACTGTATCAAAACTATCTGCATAGAAGATATTAATGTTTGGCAAAATCAGCTTTCATTTTTATTATATTTTTTATCTTGGTATCAATTGACAAATGACATTGAGGTTTAAAGCTTAAAATAACTTTTTTTGTTTTAAAACTTTTTTATATATATTTCATAAAAAATATATTAAACCAAATTTATGATATTTATTGTTATAGGAAATGTTTTACGCGTACCACTCTCTCCACAGCAGATTATTACATGTAACAGTCTTAAATTTTTCCATTAAATTTTAATCAAAACTAAAAAATGATATCAAAGCCAACAAAAAATGTTATTTTAAATTTTCAAAATTATTAATAAATTCATTTTATTTATAAAAAAGTTCTCATTTAATTTCAATTTCTGTCCATGCTCAAAATAAGTTAGTTGTATGGCACGTGAAGATACGTAATCAAAACTATCTGCATTTTTGCATCACAAAAACTGTGCACTCAATCATTTGAATTCATAGGCTTCCGTTTCGTCTGTTCGTAAAATTGGCTGACCGCCCAAATGCAATTTTGTATTTTTGTATAAAACTCAACCCATTTCAACTAAACTGATTACGTTATCATATAAAAATAATATTAAAAATAAAAATAATTAAATAAAGAAATATTTTCGAAATGAATGAAACACAGACTCGTGTCAACAAATAAAAACAATAAATATTAAAAATAAATTGAAAAAGATGAAAGCTCTTTTTTTAATTCATAAAATAAATAATAAAACAAAATCTTTTTTGAAAATATAATTTGTCAAAAATATTTTTCGAAAATCTGTAATAATCGATGAAAATCGAGCATACGAAGAAAAATGTGGACTAAATACCTTTGCTGTGATTTCAAGCAAATGTTTTTAAAATAAAATGTAAAATGAGTGTAATATTTAATTCTTATATTTTAGTTAATATAGGTAGATAGGTAAATTATATTGGCTATTGACTTCTTGAATTGATAGCCGATATACTTAATCCAAATTGTCCTATTGTGGCACCATGTGCTATCAGTAGCGCTCTTAAAACTTCGTCCCTGAGTGGAACTATTATGTCAATGTAACCTTGGTTAAGAAACTCTGGCAATATATGGTTCTCTTCTAGTTAATAATAATCTATTATAATTATTATAGTTTATTTTCGTCCTAGTCTAGAACAAATAAGGTGTTTGATGATTTAGGTTAATAAAACCTGGAACAAAATTATTGTCACAATCACAATATATATTTATTGTGATAATAATATTTATTATATTATTAATATAATATTTATTATTATTATTATAATTTGTCTTTTGTTTCGTCATTTAATGAAAATATTTTATTTGATTTTTTATTTTATGTTTATTTGATATAAAAGAGAGTTTTTAGCAGTTTTAAAAGGATTTCTATATGAATATATGTGTTCCTGTACTATACGCCCCCAATAGTTATATCTTAACACAAAAACCATAAAGCTTTAGTTTATGCACTTTACATTTTCATTTCAGTTATATTATTTATTAGTATAAACAATATGGATTGAATATAACAGATTAAGTAAAATGTTATACACAACATCCACACAATTTAAATGAATTTCTTCATTTTAATACTATAGAAAGGACTAGAATGTGTACTAGACATTTTATGAAATCATTCAGAGAAAATGAAAAAGTATATTAAAATGATAATGGAGTTGAAAATCAAATATTTTTTCATTTACTTTATATATTAAATACAAATCTTAAACAATATTAATTGCAGTATTTCTTGGTCTTGATGTCTCGAACTGTTCTTCAATAAGTAATCTACTACAAATATATCATTAAGCTTTCACTATTTCTACTATTTCAATCAAAAGTAATCAATTTATTATATATATTAATATAAATATTATAATAGCATAATTTATCTACTTATGATGATAAATTACTCATTTAATTACATATTTTGCTATAACAAAATATGAAACTAGAGAAGAAGTCGTCTTCTCTAGTTTCATATATCAAAAACTTTCTCAATTTGATAACTCCAACGGACACATGGCTTCTTCCTCATTTCGTTGCAAACACCTTTCTGGTTTGAGCATCCTCATCTATTCTAAAGACATAGATAAGTTTAGAAACTCAAACTTCTAGATATGAATGTAATGTTAATGTCATGATAAACTTTGTACAGCTAAGGGTTCATTCAGATGGTGGTAGTCGGCGCCAACTCGCAGACGACCAATAATTTTACGAAGAACTTTTCTATCGTTGTTGTAATAATAGTTGAAATAAAAATGTGTTTTTATTGTTATCAAATACATTCGATTTGTTTACAGATTTATATTAAAATTATTTTCGAAAAATATTAAAATAAAATTTTGAAGTTTATAAGGATTCATTTTCATATTTGCTATAATAATATTTCTCTTTTTGTGTTTCGCTTACAGGGATATATATTAATTAGTCATTTTCATTAAATGCATCCAAAAATAACTATTGACGATAGTCGATATATCAAAATGAAATATAAAT